GTTGATGCGTGTGGCAAGGCTGGCATCAACCCGTGGAATCGATCTAGGCACCGACCACTGAAGAACGACAATATACTGTCCTTCATACCATAATGGGTCGCGGCTTCCTCTGAGCGGCAATAAAGCAAGCTCACTGGCGCTCCATGTCGCCAAGCGCAAGTGTGCAGAAGCGCCAAAACGCTTGCGCGAAGATCGCGATCTGACAGCTTCGAACTTCGTGTTACTGAATTATTTCTTTTAGACCAATGCGGGTGTTGCATTTGACCAAAAATCAGCCAATGCGGTTGCTAAAAGGCAGTGTTAGAGCGATTTTAGACCAATGCGCGTGCGGTATTTCACCCACCACCTAATTGGTACTCCCCATTTGTTAGAACCACACGGGGCACTGTTACAATATCCGGTATGCAGTATCCGGAAATCGGTTGACCTTGATCGACAGTTGGAAGCAGGACGACACTGCCGCCGCAACGTGCTGGCTTGTCAATGGATTGTGTGCGTGAGGCTCGGGTTTGCCCCATGGGATTGCCCCATGGACTGGCTGGTAGTATTTTTTTGGTACATGACGTCGATGTGTCACGAGCATCGCCGAAATCTTCTCTCTGACCTCAAGCTACTGCTGAAATTCAGTGGAGCATTGTAGAGCAGGCAACTCATCGACCATGCTTGAGGTCAAGACGTTCACTCGGCGCGTAGCTACGGCTGGCGTCACTGGCAGCAAATAATTGAACTCGGCTGCACCCGATCGCCCTATGTGCACAAGGCATTTTTCAATGAAGTCGCACCCTCCAGCGTGCGTGTCCATTCCTGACGTGAGTATTGAAGACCACGATGCGCTTCTCGACCTTGCCCACCACGCGCTCAGCGACCTCATTTTGAGTGCCCGCTTGGAGAACAATAGCCGCCTGCCATGGGCACCGCTGGCGTCGTACCCGTCCCAGACAAAAGTGTACACAGCAAACGACCCTCTGGTGCGGGACGCGTTCTATGCGGGCGAAACAACTCTCGAGATGGCGCTCGAGGACGCGATTGCGTTCTTCCGAGTCGACGAGAGAGCCGAGTACCTCGACCACGCGCGCTTGTTGGCGCGCAAGGCGTCGAACGCGTGCATATTGAGCCCGCTGAGCAGCGGCAACTGCGACGACCCTTACCACTATGTCGGGTTGCACTGGCTCGCGCTGCCACTGTCGTCGTCGAGCCTCTTTCACCAGCGCGATATCTGCTACCTTGAAGCCCACGACGCTTTCCATCTGCATGGCGCGCGCGGCTGGGCGTGTGTCGCGTCGTCCGTGCGGCTGCCTTGGTTTCCGTGCCTCGAGATGAGTCACCAGTTGCTCCGCGCTACAATGCGCCGGTCGGGTTACGTGCTCACAGAGCTCAGTCCAACGACGACCCGCGTCGTGCACGTCGTCAACGTCGACATGGGCGGACACATACCGTCGGTGCTTGTGGGCAAGATGCTCAAGGCGCAAGCCGCGTCCGTGGCGCAGCTCGCGCATCGCATCCGGACGCGGGGTACGACGGTCGTGTCGCCACCATCGACGCACTGCGCGTCGTGCCATGCCAAGCTCCACTGCCTCAAGACCAAGGTCGAGTGCCATCGATGCGGCGACATGGTCTGCAAGCGCTGCATTCTCGTCAACGCCCAGTGTAAGAACTGCTGCTACGGCCACCCTGACCGCGTGCGGGCATCAACGTCTCCGGACAACAAGGTCGGGCACCGCCAAACGAGCTCATCGACGGTCATCGCCGAGGAAGACAACGAGGGGGGTCACGACGACCTGTCTACGCTCCGAGTTGGCGCAGAGGCGCAACCATTGCGCCGCACGTTCGTCCAAGGCCGTCGGATCGACTGCCACGTCAGTGTCGTATCCGGATACTCTATCTAATTATAATGCATGCGATTCGAAAGCAGAGGTTTATCCAGCAGTAGCAGAAAGGATGGACAAGCCGCCGGCCAACGACGACGCGCCGCTCGACATCTCGTGCGCCCAATGCTTGGACGATGCGTTCAAGTGCATCAGTACGTGGCCGCGATGGTAGGCTGACGTCGTTGGCTAATGCTGTACGTCTAGCCGTCGGCTACCAAATGACGTACTTCTACCGCCACGGTGAAGTGGACTCGTGCAATGGCCGCTGGACAGACATCCTGCGCTGCTTCCGCATCAAGACGATGAAGCCCACCGACGCCAAAGAGTACCTGAAAGGATCCAACATCGATCCGGAGCGTGAGCCCCATGTCGCGTCCGTCTGGAACCTCAAGCAGCGCCCGGGCTGGTAGTGTAGCCTCGCTGAAGCAAGTTGTGCACTGCTCCTGCA